ACGACGACGACCACCACCACTACCACTACCACTGCCACTGCTGCAGCTGTTGCAGTTTGTGCGCTTAGTGCTCTTCTGCTTTCTCCTTTATAGTGACGAGCTTTGACCCCGCCCCTGTGGGGAGACGGGTCTCAGCACAGCCTTTTCGTTTCACTGTATTGACCACGGCTGGCGGATCCCTGCAACCTCCTGTCTGAAGATTTTTCTCATTTTGAGGGAACTTGAACTCTGCATGTTAGGGCCTAAGACTTGGCGATGAAAAGCTTCACCACGGAGGAAGGCGCGAAGGTGCCAGAGAGCCATCTGGCGTCACTCCGCCGGATGCCTCGACCAACCCGGTGTTTTAAATCGAAAAAGGCGTGGGAGCCTGCATGAGAGCCTGCTTGCGTCTCATGGGTCGCTTGGCTTGCGTGTCTAAGCTTCCTTCGGCTGGCCCAGTCCTCGGGTAGCTCCGTTTTGCACACCTTGAACACTCTCGAGCTGCCAAAAAAAGGAAGGCAGAGTTCCGAAGGCTCCGAGAGAGGCTCCCAGCAACGGGTCATGACAAGACCGACACTAACGTTTAACACGGTTTATTGCAGTAAGAGAGACGGCTCCTTGCAGTGAACTCTGCACGATGGATGGTGAGCCGCCGAAGCAAACCGAGCAGCTGGAGGAGGCGAGCCCTTGTGGGGCCCCCGAGGACTTGGTAAAAAAAGGGCAGGGGACCGGTTTAGGGGGTTCTGTTTAGGGTTTAGGGTTCAGGCTTCAGGACTTCAGCCATTGCAGATGCACATAATTTCTCGATCGAGTCATTTCACAACCGTGGAAGCTTAGATCCGGAGACATACTCGTATCTAACAATTCCAAAAGCTGGCATACATGCTTGGCGCAAGTAGTTGTCCAGCTAACTCTGACGCAGAGTCCTTGATGGCCAGCAGTGCTGTCGAGTAACTGAGCCCGGAAAGCAACAGTCAAAGCTGCGTGGAGCTCCGAGCCTCCGCGAGACCTGCCAGGTCCTGCAAAGCTTCTCGGCGTGAGACCTTCGAATTTGGGGCTGTCGCCACACGCCAGGGGTTCGAAAAGTGCAGGCGTGTAGAGTTCGTGGGCTCCGCTCCTTGCTCCGCTGAGGACAGCATGAGGAGCTGATTCGCCACTTGGAGCCTTGCCTGCGAACTGCGCACACGTGCCCATCCCGGAGCTCTGAGCCTTTAAGCCCGAGGATGAGTGGCTTCAGAAGCTGGAGCGCTCCATGGAGAGGCGCGTTCTTTGCACTTTTTCTGTTTGTTTCTTGTTTGGCTCTTTCCTTTGGCCTCGGGGGAGGCAGCTGCTCTCCGCAGACGCAGCGCAGTTCCCAGAGGCCCAGCAGGGGCAGCTCGAAGCACCTCGGAGCTGCTCGAGACTGTGTGCAGGTTCTAAGATCTGCGTAGTTTTTCCATCATCCGGGACTAAATGCTGGAAAGCAAGAACGCTAGCAACCAAGAAGCAGACAGAAGGACATCACGATGATAGTAGTAGCACTATGTAGAAGGCGAGCAACGAGAGGCAACTATAGATGTTGCTAAACAGAGCATACAAGGATCTTGACACGGAGAACGACCAGGACCAGTCGGCACAGCATAGTCACAAACCCTGAGCGCCTTCGCTCCTCCCCTTTAAGGGCTCCTCACCTTTCGCAGGCAGATCCGAGGCCGCGGCGCCGGTCCCTTCGTCTTCGGGACGGAATCAAGGCAAAGAGTGAAATGTCGTGTAGGGCCAATAAGGTTTTTCTGCCCCCCGAATGTTTCCTTGTAGGCTGAGGCTAGGAGTTTGAGCCAGGACACTTGTGATGTCGCAGGCGAGGGATGAGGAACTCGATAATGACGGGGACAAAGATGACACCGGAGATGGGGCCGATGATGGTGATGGTCCGGTGATGTTGCTGATGATGCTTATGGTAATGAGAGTCTGCTGTCCGTACTGGTCACGACGACCCTGTTGTGAAGTCGATGATCGTGCCAATCAATCCAATGATGTCGCTGCTGCTGCTGATGATGATGATGATCGTGGGGATGACGGCGAATTGGCTCCAAGAGCTCCGGGGCTGGCCGAAGCCTTCCCTGGAACCTTGAACTTTGGATCACTTGGCCCAAAAGGCGGGGACCCCTGTCACACACGACAGGACGACATCGCCTCGCCGACTTCTGCCGCTGCTGCCGCTGCCCGTCTTGGCCAACCGACGCTCAAGAGGACCTGGAGCTACGAAGTGGCCAAGGAGCCTCTCTGGACAGCTGGTTTTCTTGCGGACATTTGGGAGGGGAGAGGCTTCCGGAGTTGTAGGAGCTCTAGCGTCCCTGGCCCTACGGTTTCAAGGAGAGCACGGTCACGTCCCGAACTGCCTAGGCCCGCGGTACTGACGTGGAGACCTTCAAGCAGATGATGTCCACAACTGACCAAATCCAAGAACCCACCGCGCTCCGATCCTCTGTTGCACTTGCTTCTCAATGCACTGGGCTTAGGGCTGCGGGGTAGTTGGATTTGAATTGAGGCTTTGGGACAAGGCCCTTCATGCCTTTTTCGTCGGCTCCGTTCCAGAGGTTTGCCTTCTGACAGCCGAGGAGTGTTTTTCACGGACGTGCAGCAGAAAGCACGGCTTGTGGCCGACAACCTTTACTTCAACGTCTTCTTTGCCGTTGTCATCATGTCGAACTCCGTTTTTCTTGGCATGCAGCTGGAGTGGAGCGCGCTGCGCGTCGACAGGCCATTCTGGGAAAAAGGATCTGTCTCGGTCATGGGGCTTAGGGTTTAGGGTTTAGGTGGGCAGAATCGAAGCTACGGGAGGAGGAGTCTGTCAGACTGCCCTAAACCCGAAAATCGGGACACGTTCATCACCAGAAAACAGCGCTCAAGGCTTAGGAGGGCGGTTGTGAAGTTGCAACCGAGCAACGGAGCCTGGAATTCAGTTCCTTCCCCGACCTTGGCGGTCCATTGATTGATCTGAGTGGCGTTCCAGGGCACACGTGTACATGTTTGTGGTATTGCAACAACGTTTCCGGGCCATCTGCGGCCTGTCCACCTCATCTGCTCCGAAACGTTTTATGAAGCATCCCCCCTGTTTCTTGAAAGGTTTGTGGAGCCGGGATTCATCGTAGCGCACCTGATGTACGCTGTTCTCTTCACCGGAGAGATGTTCATCCGCATCACGGCCGCGGGGCCGAAAACCTACTTCGTCGGGAATGGCTGGGCGTGGAACTGGCTCGACGTCTTTGTCGGGGCCCCAACTTGTACCCTCCTCCTAAAGTTGCAAGCCCAAGGAGCCCTAAACCCGAAACCCTGAACCCTAAACCCAAGATGTTCCTTCGATTCTCAGGTGGTGGTCCCGGCCTGGGTGGAGTTGGCGCTGGACTTGAGCGCGAGGAACGACCGCGCAGAAGGCGGGGCTGCGAGCAACTTCCGCATCATCCGGGTCTTCAAGGCGCGGTGCACTCTCAAAAGCCGATCATCCGATCATCTCCTCCTTTCTCCCGGCATGCTCATGCAAGGCATGTTTCAGGACGAAGGTGGGTTTTTCTCAGAGATCCAAGAGGCTCAAGCATGCTAACCCTCATGAACGAAACGTCTTCGTCAAGAGTGAGGCTTCCCTTGAGCTGCCATTTCTTCACGGATTCAGTGCTTGGGAGGGGGAAACTGTGGCCTTTTTCTGTGGGGGGGGGATTTCTTCACGGATTCAGCGTTTGGGAGGGGGAAGCTGTGGCATATTTTTTGGGGGGGGGGGGGGGGAGAGCGCTGGTATTGCTGCACGGATGTAGTGTTTGGGAGGGCGAAACTGTGGCCTTTTTTTCCTGGGGGTATGTCTTCACGGATTTAGTGTTCAGGAGGGGGAAACCATGACTTTTCTTGCCGGGGGAAAGAGCTGGTACTTTGCGGGGTGGGAGCGGAGCGTTGGTATCTCTTCACGGATCAGTGTTTGTGTGGCTTTTTCCAGGAGGAGGAGCGGGGGAGGGGGAAACTGTGGCCGTTTTTCCGGGGCGGGGAGCGGAGCGCTGGTAGTTCTTCGCGGATTTAGTGTTGGGAGGAAACTGTGGCTTTTTTCGGGGGGGGGGGGGGGGGG